ATTACCTATAATATCTTAACAACCATTTCACAAAACAAGACATAGATGTTGTAGATCGGAAACAATACTTAATTGGGATGATCTCCACATTTAAGATGAACCTGAAACAACCTAGAGTGATTACTACTTAAATTCTAGAACAATCAAATATAACCACTATTTATAGGTGATATTCACACAGTTTAATATATATAAAGCCAACTCTACTTAGCATATATTAACATAAAGAACTATGTAGTCCTATGAAAGTAAATTAAAAAAAAAAAAGTGATCCTCTATATACATATTCAATAACTATAAACAATGAAAACTATAAGTACATGATTTTAGAGGTCATGGGAATTACAATGAAAGTCTTGTAAACGGTGTGATCACACAACAGTTTAGGCCCAAAGCCCATTACATCGCAACCCCGCTTCTCAAAAATCACAAAATTGCAACTTGCATTTTGATTCTATACAGTGTTGCAATGGCATCATACAATCATCACACTGCAACTCCATCATAAGTAGTAGTCAACATTTAGACGTTTTTGGGAAGAAGAAATTCATATAGCACAACTGGATTAACTTTTAGAAGGGGGCAGTAGCTATATTAGTGCTCAAGTGTTATGTGCATATCTTAGAGGTGTAAATCGGGTTGTGTCGCTCGTGGCCCATCTCAGCCTGATATGATGGTTTATGCATCGTGTCGGGTTTGGGGTTTTAGGTCCACAGGCCGGCCCTGTTCAACCTGGCACAGCTCATATATATATTTATATATATTTTGTATATATTTGTATATATTATATATATTTTATTAATATAGTTATATATATAATATATTATATATTATATAAATTATAATTATATAATAATATATTAATAAAATAAACAATTGCATTCAATTTTATTATACTATTTTATTTAATTATTGTATATAAAAACAATTATATACATCAAAATTCATATAAAATAAAATTTTTAAGATTTTTTTTTAAATAAATAGCTTTGGCCCGGGCCGGTCCACGGCCCAACCTAGCCTAAGGCTCAGCCCAATGACCAATCTAGCCCATGACATGGGCCCACACAGACTCAAGCTGACCCCCAAAATATCCCAGGGGAGGGAATCACAACCCACGGGCCGCACCAGCACAGCACTATCTTACAACTCTAGCAGATCTCGAGGAAAAGGGTGAAAACCCAGATCGTGGGATCTCTGCATGGACACATGGAGACACCCTATGTGTCGTGCCTATTTTAGATCTAACAAATTTTTCTACTTTGAAAGTTTCCTCCTTATGCATATGTGTCTATAAATAATAGATGTCCAAGACTCTCCACACTTTTCATCTGTAAGAATCCGTATGGAAGCTTCGTCACTCTAAAATGCTAACTTTCCCAAGCCAACAGCCATTGCTTCCCCTCACCGAAGCCATCTACCGTCTTTCAAGTAAACCTTCCTATAGCCTTACCCTCTCTATTTACATGGGAATCTCTATATTACAAAATGTGCAAATTTTTGCTTAAGATAAGAATGCAAATCATAATTATAAATAAATGGATGCATAACTGATCCAAATACAAAACTTATATGTAAAGGTGTAAATGGATCGAATTCGAATCAGATCAAGTAAAATCCGAATCTAAATCCAATTAGAAAATTCAATATACGATGGATATTAAAAATTAATATTTGAATTCAAATTCGATTAAATATTTGAATATTCGATTCGATTCAAATTTGACTAATTAATTATTTTAAGTAATTAATAAATATATAAAATAAATATTTTATTCATGTAAAATATATAAATATATAAATTATTTATATAATTTAATTATTATATATGTAAATTATATAAGACATTTAAATATTTTATATATTATATATAAGAATTAAATAATTAGTCGAATTCGGATATTTATCGGATTGTATTAGGTCATATCCAAATTCGAATCTGATTAACTATTCAATATGAATACGATATCTGATTAATTTTCCGTTGAAATTCACCATTTTAATCCCAATACTATCCAAATATTCAAAAAATTGGAAAAAAAAAGCACTGTTCATCTTCTTCGACCTTGCGATAGAGGAACAGCAGCAGCCACAAAGAAGGGGCATTGTCGGCTTTGGCCACCACCACAACTGGGAATTTCTTCCAGGCTTCTTTTGAGTTCTGACTGATGTAGATTGTATTTTTCTTTTACGTTTAGAAAAAATGGATATTAATTTTCCTATAAACTTCGACCTCCATGTATATATATTTCTGGACAATCAGCTCTTCTTCCCTTGGCCCTTAGTCCTTACCATTCTTTGTAAACGTTTACCTCACAGCTTTCTTCTATAAAATTCAATTTTTTTTTTCAAAAATTTTCTCCTTGCAATATCCTTTCTTGAATCCAAGTTTGTTTGTGAAAAAGCAGAGCAATTCATGAATTCCTGCAAAAAATATTGTAGATTGTCTCCTTAAATCCCCCTCTAGTCATCGTCTGCTTTTTATTTCTCTCTGCGGAAACTAAAGTTCTTGTTTTATTTTATGAGAACTAGGTACTGACCGTCTGTGAGGATATAAAGAGAGACCAACTGCTCAGAAACCCACTTGTTGCAATCTCCGTGATCTCATAGATTTACGAGATACAATGCCCCTTCTTTGTCGCATCCAGATTCTCCCTTTTGGTTAGGTACTGACAGTCTGTGAGGAGATAAAGCACTGTTCATCTTCTCCGTGATCTCATCCAGATTCCCCCTTTTGGCTAGTCTATTTAAGGCGGTATTCCTGGGCCTTTCCTTGCATGCGTCGATCTTGATCGGACTCGGCTCTTCATTTCTTCATTCTTTTCTGTGCGCGTGTTGTACTAACTTGGATCTCCACATCCCATAGCCCCTAGTTTGATCAAAGGATCCACAGACCTTATTGGGGTCACCGACGATGACCGGCCATCGTTGGTTACTCTCAATGGTTTGAATTTCATTGCCAACGGGCACCCCATCCTCACCGGTGTCCCTTTGGATATTGTAGCGACTCCATCTACGGACAAGGCAACAAACACGGTCGGTTCTTATGTGGGTTTTGATGTCTAAGAATCGAAGAGTAGGCACGTCGTCTCTCTAGGCAAGCTCAGGGGAATTAAGTTCATGAGCATCTTTAAATTCAAAGTCTGGTGGACGACGCATTGGGTGGGAGACAAAGGCAGCGATGTCGAACACGAGACCCAGATCATGGTTCTGGACAAGTCGGACTTCGGCCGTCCTTATGTTCTGCTGCTTCCCCTCATTGAAGGGTCATTCCATGCTTCTCTCCACCCAGGCGACGACGACAACTTGCACATTTGTGTAGAGAGCGGGTCGACACAAGTGACAAGCTCAAGCTTCAGGAGCTCACTGTACATGCATGTCGGAGATGATGCATAGTCTTTTAAAGACGCAATGAAGGTGGTGAGGGTTCACCTAGGAACCTTCAGACTCCTCCAGGAATAGTAGACAAGTTTGGTTGGTGCACCTGGGACGCCTTTTATCTTAAAGTACATCCTGATGGAGTGTGGGAGGGGGTGAAGGGTCTGGTGGAGGACAGTTGCCCGCCGGGGCTGGTGCTCATCGACAACGGATGGCAATCCATTTGCCACGATGATGACCCATCTTTGTAGCCGCTGCTGTTCCTGTATCGCGAGGTTGAAGAAGATACACAGTACTTTTCTCCCCTCGAATATTTATTATAAGGGTATTATGGGGATTAAAACGGTAGATTTAAACCGTAAATTAACATAAATTAAGAGGGTATTTGTCTCACGGTTATAGTATAAGGAGGTCTTTATCGCAACGCAAAGTACAGGGGGTCTTTATTACAGACCCCATAGTACAGGGGTGTCTCTTGTAACTTTAGCTAGGGGGTTTTATCACAAACCCCATAGTACAGGGGTGTCTCTTGTAACTTTAGCTTGACAACTATAATGCATCCATGTATTTGAGACATTCTCTTTAAACTAGGAGAGTACATCTCTCTAATCATACCCGTGAGAGTATGCTTAGCGATATTCCTCTTCCTCACCAAAAGTAAACATCTGCACTCCCATCTACTGTGAATGGAATCCGCATCCAAAACAAATGTAGCCTTAACAAACAGAGCCACCTCTACTAGCTTTTGTACTTGTTTCACCTTGGCAAATGGTCAAGTAGAGACAAAGGTAGGGTTGCATGTCAGGCAGCTGGGTCGGGTTTAAACTTTAAACTAAACCAAGGCCCAAACCCTAAGAGTTGGATCTATGGCCAATCTCTGTTCAAGCCTGTACTGTCCAACCTAGGCCTAGCCGCCTGCACTGGAATTTGATGCATTCAGGTTGAGTTCGGGCATAGGCCATGTTCGGGTGAGTCAATGAGCCTACACTAAAATTTGATATAAATGTATGTATTTAAGCATTTATGTATGGTTTATTAAGAATGTGCATATATGCATGTATGCATGTAAATATATATTTATATATGCATATATGTATATGTATATAGTTTGGCCAGGCTCGGATTGAAATAAGCTCGGGCTGGGTTAGGACCACCTAAGGGCTAGGCCCTCATCCAGCCATAAAAATAAAATAAGTCTGAATTTTTGGGGCCAATCTAAAAACACTGTTCTTTTGGGATCAGGCCCAGCCCAAAGATCAAAAATCCAAGTCCAGAACATGTAAAACTGCAGGTTGGGTCAGTCTGGACTGAGATTGGGTCCGCTGAAGTTGTGATAGAGGAATGTTGTCTACGTTCTTTCCTTGAATAATGATAGAATAAACTGAACATTTAGCATTTGTACACAGAGATAGGTCACATAGTTTACCATACAAAAACATAAATCACCATAACTCGTTGAAAGTTGAAACTATTGAATCTATCAAAGCTCAATGCCTTGCATATTTGTACTATCAAAGCCAACTTTATTCTATATGCTTCAATACAAGATCAATACAATATTATTCTATAGGCTTCAATACTAACAAATAACAGTAATACCACAGGATGGTTTTGAAAACATATAATCCAAGAACACAGAAAGATATTGAAATTTGAAAGTAGGTTATAACATGACTCCACAGTGAAATTAAAGCACAATGTGAGCAAGCAATTCTAAAATGTTTTGCAAGAAACAAGGGTGTTCAAATGTGTCAAACAATGCTCTGTTTTGAGATTCCATATCCTTTTCACCCATGGCTGTTGGGTACTTGCTGCATAGAAGGATCTATCAACTGCAAAAACTACTAATTTGCCATTCATCAAACAACAAATCGGCTTAGCTGAATCTAGGCTTCTTGAGTTAGCTAACTTCACACCCACGTCAAGTTTAACACTGTAAAGTTTAATCCAGTCCCCTTTATCAAAATCCTTCAAAACCCATATCTCAAATTCTGCTGTAGAATCAATTCGGCTTATGAATGACAAAGAACCCCCTAATTCCAACAGTTTATCTTGCTCCCCTCGACATTTCGGAAGTTTTTTCTTGTGGAAACTTTTATCAGCTGTGTCCATGGAAAGCATGTCCTCTTTGTCTCCATCATCAAAATCTCCATCTATTGAATGCAAGAAGCCATTAACAGAAGTATTATCACGAGCAAGTTGGATAAATTGTTCAGGTACATTAACAAGCTCCCATTTATCAGATCCCAATGTTAGTATCAAACATACAGCTTTTCTTTCACTGAAGCACAAAACTTTGTACTCATTTGTGCCAGGATGCCATGTGAATCCATATTGAGATGCATAAATGCGTCTAGATGACAGCAATTTATTTGGAGCTGGGGGGGGGAGTTTGATCCATTGTTTAGTGACAGGATTAGCCACAGACAAGTCTCCAGATTCAGGGATGTTCTCCAGCAAGATTAAACCATTGCAACTAGCACGGATTTTAGCTCCAGATAGGAGGGGAAGCTTCAAATCTTTGGTCCTGAACCTCCCCTCTTCTAAATACAAGAAATTAACCTTGTACCTGAGCTTTTCTGTACTGAAGTCTTGAAAAATCAAACCAGACTCTGCATGAGAGAGGTGGGCACTGATGAAAATAGGGTCTGATATGAACTTATGCCACATCTTGGATACTAACCTTTGTTCATATAGTGTATCAGCTGGAACATAGGTGAGGATTTCAAAGATCATATCGTCAGGAAGTTGCTGAACCATCATTGAGACTTGCCTTTCTTCAATAATAATAAACAACTTTGGCAAATCACTACAAAACAAATACAGTCATTAATTTTTTTTCTCTGCAACAGGTGAGTTGATCATTCGACACAAGAACACAATAAGCCTCAGTTGGAACTGATACAAACGAATTCACTTCACTTACCATGCAACACAGAAACTACAAAATTCAGGGGCGCATTCTCTATCCCTGTTTGTCCCTCCTCTTTTCGTTTGGATACATGACTTCAAATTTCAATAAAGCCACATTCCGCGCGCTTTCACCATTACTTTTTCCTACTTTTCCTTCTTGTGTTGCAATAAGCAGAGTTTCAAAAAGTCAAATGCGCTCTAAACTGTATGCAATCAGTTTGGAATCAAACCTCCGTCTGGTTTGAGGGAAAGTTTGGGTGGGATGGGAAAGGGTTGGATGAGATGCGATGGGTAAGCGTAAAAATTTAAACTTCCACTGTTTGGTTGTAGATGTGGGAAAATGATGGAGACCCATCACAAGGCCCATCTCACCCCTAGGGGCGGCAGCTCCTAGGATAAGGTCAATTCAGGATAAGGTTAAGTCCAAGAATTCAAGATAAGCAAGAACTGATCAAAGATTAGCAAGATAAAACAAGACTCTTCCAAGATTATCAAAAAGACTCCAAGAAGCATCAAGATTAGCAAGATAATCCAAGATTCATGCATCTAGGGAGATCAGACGGTGGAGATCAAACCAAGGAGAGTTCGATCCTATCAAATTAGATATTTAGATCTATCCTAGTTATTATTTCCAAGTTTTTTTACAATTTCCAAATGTATTATAAATACTGTTATTTTCCCATAGTTATTCATCAATTCATACTTCATATTTTCAGAATTTCTTCAAGTTCTCTTCTTCCTATTTTCGCCACCTTTTCTCTCCTAGAGAATTCGGTGTTCTTCGCTAGAAGATAGCAATCGCCCGGTGCTTGCATAGCCAGCCCGGTTTCTCATTGCTTCCACACTGCGTCAGGTGGTATCAGAGCAGGGAATTCGCCCAGTCATGTCCAACCCAGACGGTAGCAGTTGCAACCCACCCCGTGACGGAAATCAGGGGTTTCCAGCTGTTTGAAGAGCAATCGAAGAACAGCGTACAGCCACACGTAACATCGAGCAGCAGTTGGTAGAGATGGCTGAACAACTGCGAACCTTGTTACGGGAGGTTGCTCCACGGAACCGGGAACATCCACAGCAAATCGAGGGAGACGACCACGACAAACCACCCGTCCATACTGCGTTCCGACGACCAGTCCTGGACGACGACAGTGATGATGATCTGGAATTTAGTGGTGCTCTAGTTCTTCCCGGCAACGACAGAAATGGTAGAAATTGGCACAACCAAGGTAATTTCAATCCCCATAGGAATAATGATGAATTTAAACTCAAGATAGATATTCCTACTTTTAGTGGAGATCCTGGCATAGAGGGACTTCTGGATTGGATCACAGAAGTCGATAGGTTCTTTGATTACATGGAGATACTAGAGGAACGAAGGGTAAAACTGGTAGCTTTCCGATTAAAGGGAGGCGCATCTGTTTGGAAGGAACGGATGAGAGAGACCCGGATGAGAGAATGAAGGGGTCCTGTTCGAACCTGGAGGTGCATGAAACAATTAATCAGAGGTAGATTTTTACCTACTAATTATGAACAATATATGTTTGAATCTTATCAAAGGTGCACGCAGGGTTCACGTAGTGTTAATGAGTACACATCAGAATTTTTAAGATTAGCAGAAAGAAACCAGTTGTCTGAAAGTGATAACCAGCAGGTAGCCCGTTATCTGAGCGGGTTGAGATCGTCCATCAGAGACAAAATTGGTGTACAGATGGTTCTCAGTGTGCAGGAAACAAGGAACCTAGCCTTGAAAGCAGAATTAATGTTCCAAGACAAGGCACGCAGTGATAATTACCGCCGGTACAG